TCTAGCCTAGGTGACAGAGTGAGACCCTGTCTCAAAAAAAAAAAAAGAAAAGGAAAGGAAAAAGTTAAAATGTTGTTTGTGAATTTCATGCCATATCTTAACAATTGCAATGGCTTTATCTAATTAAGCACTTAACAAGCACTCTTAAGGATGCTGTAGATCAATGCAGTCCTCACACCAAAAGCAGCATTACCCAAGAACGAGATAGAAATGAAAATTCCTGGGCCCTACACTAGATCTACTGAATTAGCACAGAGAGGGGCAATCCATGGTATAATAGGCCCTCCAGGTGATTCTGATACATGTTAATCTTTAAGAACCACTGCTGCCCACTATTAATCAGCAGAGCATCTGGCCAAAACAGTATAGCTACAATCATCACTTTATCTCACCCTACTTCCCCTTTTCTTAGGTAAATAAGAATTTCTATCCCCCTTTGTGTTCTACCCAAGATATGCATGTGCTCTCTCACAGAATAGCTAATAAGTCCCTTCAATTTATCAAGAATCCCTAACCATCTGAAGTAACCCAAAACTTAGCTTTAAGAAGACATATATCTGCCACTTTCAAGTGAGGTTTAATTCTTATTTATTCATTCATTCATTCATTCATTTTAGCGTATTATGGGGGTACAAGTGTTAAGGTTACTTATATTGCCCATGCCCCCCTCCCCCCTCGAGTAAGAGCTTCAAGCATGTCCATCCCCCAAACGCTGCACATCTTACTCGTTGTGGTTGTATATACCTCTCCCCTCCCACCCTCCCAACACCCAATAAATGTTACTCCTATATGTCCACTTAGGTGTTGATCCGTTAATACCAATTTGATGGTGAGTACATGTGGTGCTGGTTTTTCCATTCTTGAGATACTGAGGTTTAATTCTTAGGCACACATTGATGTAGTTCAAGGAGTCTAAATTTACTTACGTTATCCAAGTAAACAAAACATTTTCTTATATGACAGTTTTCATATTCTGACCTATTTTACCTTGTAATACAATATGAAATGAGTTTATAAACAAAACATGTTACCTTTCCAAAGTAAGCAGAGGTTCAGCAGTTCTAGCATGATCAATTGGATAGCGTTCACGAACAGCAAATTTAACATCATCTGCCTCATCAGTTCGAAACCTTAGGATATTTAGAATTAGGTACTCATAATCTGTAAGAACAATGTTCCCCTGCAATAGAATAAAATACAATTTAATGCTTTTCCAAATCATTCTTGAAACATCTTAAAATTTGAGAAAGAAAATGTAGTCTCTTAACCTAATCAAGGTTATAAAAATGAAGTTACAAAACAAAAAGCACCAGAGTCACATCTAAACAACGTTCATTAAAAAAAAATACATACACACACACACACACACACACACACCCACCCACCCACCCACCCATTCCTGGCACTTGCCCAGCACAGACTAGGAAATAAGATAAACAAATTCTAAAGACTCCAAGTTTGAAATATAATGAAGGAATCTAGAGCAACTTTAAATTCATTGTCTGATGGTTTAGAAGTTACTAATAAAAACACAGTAATCTATTAACACCTTGATGACAGCAGCTGAACTTACTGTTACACTAACAGGAGGCAGGTCTATAAACATTGGCTTATTAAGAGAAACAGATAAGACACATTTCAGAAGCCAAGCAAAAAGCTATTATACTTTCACCTGCAATTTGTCTTTTTTTTTTTTTGAGACACAGTCTCGCTTTGTTGCCCAGGCTAGACGATTCACTCAAGGTCAGGATTCAAAACCCCTGAGCAAGAGTGAGACTGTCTCTACTAAAAATAGAAATTAATTGGCCAACAAAAAAATAAAAAATATATATAGAAAAAATTAGCCGGGCATGGTGGCATGTGCCTGCAGTCCCAGCTACTTGGGAGGCTGAGGCAGAAGGACTGCTTGGGCCCAGGAGTTTGAGGTTGCTGTGAGCTAGACTAACACCACAGCACTCTAGCCTGGGGAACAGAGCAAGACTCTGTCTCAAAAAAAAAAAATTGTCAAAGACCAAATCTTACATTTTCCTTGTATTTCCTCTACTTTTTTATTACCCTAATCTGGCAGTTAAGTAGTTACAAAAGCCTAGTCCATCATACAATCGTACATTACCATAGAAATTAACATGCATGAATAATGCTATTTCCAGAAGCACCCCAGGTTCTGAGGCAGAAGGGTAATAATTCAACTCCTTGCAACCCCAACTGTCCTAAGTTCAGTTCCCAATCATTCCAAAAATTTAGGGAGTGAGAAAAGAGAATATTCCTCAAAAGTAAGAAGGTAGGTCAAGAGACTGAACTGTATATTACCAAGAATAAACCTCCCTAGTAATTAGAGGAGGAAGCCAGGAAGGAATACCCATATGCATAGGACACTTAGAGAGCAAATGTTTTTTAAGTCTAGAACTACCTGCTCACTTACTACTTTTCTAGAAATAATTTTGAGAGTTTTTAAAAAAGGAAATAAATGAAAATGAACAAAACTTGTACCATACAGACATACCTTTACTTTCAAGTTTTTCATCCACTTTGACATTACCAGAGAATCCATTTTCTATAAGACAGTGTTCGATGAGAGCTGGTCCATAGGCTACCAAAGCAGAAGGTATTATTTTTAGTATTTTCCTATAAAATTTAATATTCAAATTATAGTACAAATTTATACCACAACATAAAAATAATAGCAACCAGTGAAAATAATAATAAGTATACTTATTTTGAAATATTGTTAGAAATGACAATTTCTGTTTTTGAGACAGAGTCTCACTCTGTTGCCTGGGCTAGAGTACAGTGTCGTCAGCCTAGCTCACAGCAACCTCAAACTCCTGGGCTCGAGCAATCCTCCTGCCTCAGCCTCCCAAGTAGTTGGGACTACTGGCATGCACACCATGCTGGCTAATATATATATATATCATACATACATACATATATATACATAATATATAGTTTTTTAGTTAGCCAGCTAATTTCTTTCTATTTATAGATAGATGGGTCTCGCTCTTGCTCAGTGCGTCTTTAACTCCTGACCTTAAGCAATCTGCCCGCCTCACCCTCCTAGAATGCTAGATTACAGGTGTGAGCCATCATGCCCGGCCTGTTACTTTAATTGTTTTCTGTGTGTGAGTTATATGCAACTTAGAATATTTACTCTCACCATTGCTATTCATCATTGTACTGGAGGTTATAACTAGCACAATAGGCAAAATTAATTAATTAAATGTATTCAGATTCTAAAGGATGAACTAAAGTATCATTATTCACAGAAGATATACAATCCTGTACATTAAAAAATCCTAAGGAATCCACAAAAACAAACAAAAAACCCACAAAACCTACTAGAATTAATAAACAAGTTTATCAGGTTTGCGGGATACAAAATCAATATATAAAAGACAATTGTATTTCTACCCAAAAATGAAATTAAGAAAACAATTCTACTCCCAATAGTATAAAAATAATAGAATGTTTAGGAATAAATCTAAAAAAGGAAGTATAAGATTTATACACTGAAAATTTCAAATACTGCTGAGAGAAATTAAAATACTTAAATAAATGGTAAGATATTCTCTGTTCATGGAAGACTCAATTTAGGTAAAATGGAAATTCTCCCCAAATTGATCTACAGATGTAATTTTTATCAAAATCCCAGCAAGCTTTTTTTTGTAGAAGATGACAAGTCAATCCTAAATTTTATAAGAAAATGCAAAAGACCTAGAATAGCCTAAACCCTTTTGGAAAAAAAGAACAAAGTTAGAGGACATATACAAGTTGAGTATCCCTTATCTGAATGCTTGAGACCAGAGTGTTTTGGATTTCAGATTTTTTTCAGATTTGGAATACCTGCATATATGTAACAAGGTATCTCAGGGAGAGAACCCAAGTAACACAAAATTCAATTATGTTTCATATACACCTTATACACATAGCTTGAATGTAATTTTATGCAATCTTTTTTTTTTTTTTTGATACAGAGTCTCACTTTGTTGCCCAGGCTAAAGTGAGTGCCGTGGCGTCAGCCTGACTCACAGCAACCTCAATATCCAGGGCTCAGCGATCCTACTGCCTCAGCCTCCCGAGTAGCTGGGACTACAGGCATGCGCCACCATGCCCGGCTAATTTTTTGTATATATATTTTTAGCTGGTCAATTAATTTTTTCTATTTTTGGTAGAGACGGGTCTCGCTCAGGCTGGTTTCGAACTCCTGACCTTGACCAATCCGCCCGCCTCGGCCTCCCAAAGCGCTAGGATTACAGGCGTGAGCCACTGCGTCCGGCCTATGCAATCTTTTTAATAATTCTGTGTACCCGTCACATGAAGTCAGTGCGGAAGTTTCGACTTGTGGCATTATGTCTGCACTCAAAAAGTTTCGGATTTTGGAGCATTTTGGATTTCAGATTTTCTGATTAGGGATACTCAATCTATACTACCTGATTTCAAAAAGTATAGAAATTAGTAGACTTTGCTTAATCTAAATTTGCAAATTTTACACACGCTATACTAACAGTTGAAAGTTTTAAAGATAACTTTTTAATGAATTCTAATTTCATAAGAGAGGAAAAATAACTCCCCAATGCTCAGTAATCATGCCTGCCTGCCTCTGTATCTTTTCCAGATTTCTTAATATAGAGCTAAGTGATGACTTCTCAAGTATAAAATTTTATTAAGATAAAAAAAGTTTACTGGAACAAAAGGATGTGATAGATGTTGGATTGCCATGAGACCAACCAATTTTAAAAAACTAAGCATAAGTGTGTTAAACCAAAGAATCACACTGAAAAACTGATTCCTTACAATACTACAGCCCAGCAACTGAATGCTAGATAACACTGTGCATTGCTTTAAATAAAAATCTAACAGATAAAGTTCAAACTTCATGTGGTATATAATAACTTCTAGTTCTTTGACAATAAGCTCCTACTTATTCAACAAAAGCATCATCTACTCATCAAACCACTATAAGACTAGATGGTTTTATATAAGTGTTTTTAATAATACCGTACCTGTTGTAAAGCTTTTAAATCAATTTTCTGTCCTTCTATCTTGGAATAAAATTCATCCACAGCCTTATTAAAAAAAAAACAAACAACTAGCTGAAAAAAAAGGGCATAATAGTCTCTACTTCAACTTGCATACACAGAAATTTAGAGTCTATTTTGTTTCATAACACCACAAAAAGAACTTGAACAGATTCCAGTAAGTATATTACACAACTAAACAATACCAAGAATTAAATTAAGTTTAAATCTTTGGTCCCTTACTTTGAAATAAAGTGGCAACAATTGTTTCCAACAGCTGTAGTTGTATCTGCAATGATTTTCCCTGCCCCCACCATGGAAAAGGAAGGGAAGAGCAGGAGAAAGGGATGGGGGTGGGGGTCAGAAAGAGAGACATAAATGGACTAAAGACCAAGTGGTAGGGAAGGGGAAAGGAGAGCAAAAAAAGGGATAGAAAGGAAAGTGCAAAGAGGGAGAGGAAGGTAAGAAAACGCGCACGTAGGCATTCCCTCTGCATTTATCTTTAATGCCCAGATTCACAGTGATTGTAAAACAAGAATATTTTTAATTTCTCAATCAGAGCAATTGATACTAACTTAACAACTCATATCATGCTAACTAACTGGTCAAAGAACATAATTGGAAAACCTACCTTGTCAAATGATTCAAATTCTATATATGGACATTGTGAATGTTGAGAAAACAAGAAAGGATGAAATTCTTCATACCTGTAAAATACATTTATTATATCACATTCAAGAGCATTAATAAACATCCAAAGCAAATTGATCCATGCCTACATGCTTACGTGAGTATGTCTTCAACTGGTTTATCTATTTCCAGGCTTGGTTTTATTTCTCTTTTCTGAATGATATATCCCTACAAAAATCCAACATGAAAATCATTTCTAGCCATAATTTATAAAGATTTACTTTCCATGACTGATAGTAATTTTAAGTTTTTATAAGTGATACTTTGAATAGAGAAGAAAAACATTCATAAGATATAAGATAATTCAATAACTATTAGGGGGCAGTAAAACACAAAACTTTGGAAAAGTGCTGGCAAATGAAAATGTGCTTCTCTATCTAAAATCAACACAAGAAGAAATATTTTCAAATTCCTCAACTTTTCTGCAGTGCCTATACCAATAGTAATTTTTTAAAAAACTACCCTAGAATAAGCATATTACAAACAACAATTTTCCAAATCAGAATTATAAAATTTACACATATTGATCCTTAGTGAACATTTAATTTCTGAAAACCCAAATAAAACCACAATAATATATAGTAAGTATACATAGTGCTACCTTCCCACTGAAGTTGGATGTTGTTTTCATATAGTCTTCTGCTTTCTGCAGACAAACAAGTACTTTTTCAATATCTAAGGGGGGAATTAAAAAAAAAAAAAGTGTCAATCAAGTGTCAATTAACCATGGTTAAACAACTACATAGAAAACAGAAAAGTGCTTATGAAATAATATAGTGTTGAAGAAAATTAGATAGTTATTTCACGTTTGTAATTGATATATGTAAATAAGGCTATGTTTCAGCCAGCCTGTCATCCCAGTAGCTTTTACTGAATCACCCATCTTTCCCTCCATGATCTGAAAGGCACTTTGTTCATAACTAAATTCCCATATATTTAGGCCTATTCCTATATTCTTCATGCTATTTATTCCTTTCCCAAAAACTTACAGTTTGAATTACTATAGCTTCCTAATATGTTTTAATCTAGGGAAAGATTACACAGACAGTAATAAATAGTAATAAATCATTACTATTATTTTCTAGAATTTTCCTGAACATTTTCACACGCTTTCATTCCAAATGAATATTAAATTCATTTTTAAAAACAAACAAAACAGGCCAGGCACTATGGCTCACGCCTGTAATCCTAGCACTCTGGGAAGCTGAGGCAGGCGATCACTCAAGGTCAGGAGTTCAAAACCAGCCTGAGCAAGAGTGAGACCCTGTCTCTACTAAAAATAGAAATTAATTGGCCAACAAAAAAAATATATAGAAAAAATTAGCCGGGCATGGTGGCATGTGCCTGCAGTCCCAGCTACTTGGGAGGCTGAGGCAGAAGGGCTGCTTGGGCCCAGGAGTCTGAGGTTGCTGTGAGCTAGACTAACAGCCACTCTAGCCTGGGGAACAGAGCAAGACTCTGTCTCAAAAAAAAAAATTGTCAAAGACCAAATCTTACATTTTCCTTGTATTTCCTCTACTTTTTTATTACCCTAATCTGGCAGTTAAGTAGTTACAAAAGCCTAGTCCATCATACAATCGTACATTACCATAGAAATTAACATGCATGAATAATGCTATTTCCAGAAGCACCCCAGGTTCTGAGGCAGAAGGGTAATAATTCAACTCCTTGCAACCCCAACTGTCCTAAGTTCAGTTCCCAATCATTCCAAAAATTTAGGGAGTGAGAAAAGAGAATATTCCTCAAAAGTAAGAAGGTAGGTCAAGAGACTGAACTGTATATTACCAAGAATAAACCTCCCTAGTAATTAGAGGAAAGCCAGGAAGAGATACCATATGCATAGGAACTTAGAGAGCAAATGTTTTTTAAGTCTAGAACTACCTGCTCACTTACTACTTTTCTAGAAATATTTGAGAGTTTTAAAAAAGGAAATAAATGAAAATGAACAAAACTTGTACCATACAGACATACCTTTACTTTCAAGTTTTTCATCCACTTTGACATTACCAGAGAATCCATTTTCTATAAGACAGTGTTCGATGAGAGCTGGTCCATAGGCTACCAAAGCAGAAGGTATTATTTTTAGTATTTTCCTATAAAATTTAATATTCAAATTATAGTACAAATTTATACCACAACATAAAAATAATAGCAACCAGTGAAAATAATAATAAGTATACTTATTTTGAAATATTGTTAGAAATGACAATTTCTGTTTTTGAGACAGAGTCTCACTCTGTTGCCTGGGCTAGAGTACAGTGTCGTCAGCCTAGCTCACAGCAACCTCAAACTCCTGGGCTCGAGCAATCCTCCTGCCTCAGCCTCCCAAGTAGTTGGGACTACTGGCATGCACCACCATGCCTGGCTATATATATATACTATACACTACATACATACATATATACTATATATATATGTTTTTAGTTAGCCAGCTAATTTCTTTCTATTTATAGATAGATGGGGTCTCGCTCTTGCTCAGGCTGGTCTTTAACTCCTGACCTTAAGCAATCTGCCCGCCTCAGCCTCCTAGAATGCTAGGATTACAGGTGTGAGCCATCATGCCCGGCCTGTTACTTTTAATTGTTTTCTGTGTGTGAGTTATATGCAACTTAGAATATTTACTCTCACCATTGCTATTCATCATTGTACTGGAGGTTATAACTAGCACAATAGGCAAAATTAATTAATTAAATGTATTCAGATTCTAAAGGATGAACTAAAGTATCATTATTCATAGAAGATATACAATCCTGTACATTAAAAAATCCTAAGGAATCCACAAAAACAAACAAAAAACCCACAAAACCTACTAGAATTAATAAACAAGTTTATCAGGTTTGCGGGATACAAAATCAATATATAAAAGACAATTGTATTTCTACCCAAAAATGAAATTAAGAAAACAATTCTACTCCCAATAGTATAAAAATAATAGAATGTTTAGGAATAAATCTAAAAAAGTATAAGATTTATACACTGAAAATTTCAAATACTGCTGAGAGAAATTAAAATACTTAAATAAATGGTAAGATATTCTCTGTTCATGGAAGACTCAATTTAGGTAAAATGGAAATTCTCCCCAAATTGATCTACAGATGTAATTTTTATCAAAATCCCAGCAAGCTTTTTTTGTAGAAGATGACAAGTCAATCCTAAATTTTATAAGAAAATGCAAAAGACCTAGAATAGCCTAAACCCTTTTGGAAAAAAAGAACAAAGTTAGAGGACATATACAAGTTGAGTATCCCTTATCTGAATGCTTGAGACCAGAGTGTTTTGGATTTCAGATTTTTTTCAGATTTGGAATACCTGCATATATGTAACAAGGTATCTCAGGGAGAGAACCCAAGTAACACAAAATTCAATTATGTTTCATATACACCTTATACACATAGCTTGAATGTAATTTTATGCAATCTTTTTTTTTTTTTTGATACAGAGTCTCACTTTGTTGCCCAGGCTAAAGTGAGTGCCGTGGCGTCAGCCTGACTCCACAGCAACCTCAATATCCAGGGCTCAGCGATCCTACTGCCTCAGCCTCCGAGTAGCTGGACTACAGGCATGCGCCACCATGCCCGGCTAATTTTTTGTATATATATTTTAGCGGTCAATTAATTTATTTCTATTTTTGGTAGAGACGGGGTCTCGCTCAGGCTGGTTTCGAACTCCTGACCTTGAACAATCCGCCCGCCTCGGCCTCCCAAAGCGCTAGGATTACAGGCGTGAGCCACTGCGCCCGGCCTATGCAATCTTTTTAATAATTCTGTTACCCGTCACACTGAAGTCAGTGCGGAAGTTTCGACTTGTGGCATTATGTCTGCACTCAAAAAGTTTCGGATTTTGGAGCATTTTGGATTTCAGATTTCTGATTAGGGATACTCAATCTATACTACCTGATTTCAAAAAGTATAGAAATTAGTGAGACTTGTGCTTAATCTAAATTTGCAAATTTTACACACGCTATACTAACAGTGGAAGTTTTAAAGATAATTTTTAATGAATTCTAATTTCATAAGAGAGGAAAATAACTCCCCAATGCTCAGTAATCCATGCCTGCCTGCCTCTGTATCTTTCCAGATTTCTTAATATAGAGCTAGTGATGATCTTCTCAAGTATAAAATTTTATTAAGATCAAAAAAGTTTACTGGAACAAAAGGATGTGATAGATGTTGGGATGCCATGAGACCCACCATTAAAAAACTAAGCTAAGTGGTTGTTAAACCAAAGAATCACACTGAAAAACTGATTCCTTACAATACTACAGCCAGCAACTGAAGTGCTAGATAACACTGTGCATTGCTTTTTAAAAAATCTAACAGATAAAGTTCAAACTTCATGTGGTATATAATAACTTCTAGTTCTTTGACAATAAGCTCCTACTTATTCAAAGGGTCATTTAAACTCCTTGATACATTTTTACCAGAACCATAAAAGATTTAAATATATTCCCAAATATCACATTATCTTGCAACATTTCATTGCTCTATGTAGGATTACTCACGAAGTAATGGTTAAGAACTCTTTTAGCAGTTCGCCTTAGGTGCACTGGTTATTATTCAGTCAATCTGTAAACAAAATTGACATACCTTTTAACTATCTAATATTGAATAAACCTTAAAGCAACTTCATTCACATTACTTTCATCTGCATCAATTTACCTGATCTTTATTAATAATGAAATATAATAGGAATTAGTCTTTTTGTAGGTTAAGAAAATGGATCACAAAAGTAATTATCCAAGATTAGTAGTCTTGAATAGCAGACTGGGACCTGAATCAGGTTTCTAAGAGAAATCAGTGTTTTTCTAACTATCATATTGCTTATCATCAAGTGCCCACATATAAATGACATGAAAATATTTTTATATAAAGTTAAAATGAGTTGGATGAGGTGGTGGCTCACATGTAATTCTAGCACTTGGGAGGCCGGTGAGAGGATTGCTTGAGGCCAGGATGAAGACCAGCCTGAGCAAGACTCTGTCTCTACAAAAAATAGACAATTAGCCATGATTTGCCTATAGTCCCACCTATGATGCCGAGGCAGGAAGATTATTGAGCCCAGGAGTTTGAAGTTGCAGTGAGCTATGAAGACACCACTGCACTCTAGCCTAGTGACAGAGTGAACCTGTCCAAAAAAAAAAAAGGAAAGAAAAGTTAAATGTTGTTTGTGAATTTCATGCCATATCTTAACAATTGCAATGCTTTATCTAATTAAGCACTTAACAAGCACTCTTAAGGATGCTGTAGATCAATGCAGTCCTCACACCAAAAGCAGCATTACCCAAGAACGAGATAGAAATGAATTCCTGGGCCCTACACTAGATCTACTGATTAGCCACAGAGAGGGCAATCCATGGTATAATAGGCCCTCCAGGTGATTCTGATACATGTTAATCTTTAAGAACCACTGCTGCCCACTATTAATCAGCAGAGCATCTGGCCAAACAGTATAGCTACAATCATCACTTTATCTTCCCTACTTCCCCTTTTCTTAGGTAATAAGAATTTCTATCCCCCTTGTGTCTACCCAAATATGCAGTGCTCTCTCACAGAATAGCTAATAAGTCCCTTCAATTATCAAGAATCCCTAACCATCTGAAGTAACCAAAACTTAGCTTTAAGAAGACATATATTGCCACTTTCAAGTGAGGTTTAATTCTTTTATTCATTCATTCATTCATTCATTTAGCGTATTATGGGGTACAGTGTTAAGGTTATTTATTGCCCATGCCCCCCTCCCCCTCGAGTAAGAGCTTCAAGCATGTCCATCCCCCAAACGCTGCACTCTTACTCGTTGTGGTTGTATATACCTCTCCCCTCCACCCTCCCAACACCCAATAAATGTTACTCCTATATGCCACTTAGGTGTTGATCCGTTAATACCAATTTGATGGTGAGTACATGTGGTGCTGGTTTTCCATTCTTGAGATACTGAGGTTTAATCTTAGGCACACATTGATGTAGTTCAAGGAGTCTAAATTTACTTACGTTATCCAAGTAAACAAAACATTTCTTATATGACAGTTTTCATATCTGACCTATTTTACCTTGTAATACAATATGAAGGCCGGGCGCTGTGGCTCACGCCTGTAATCCTAGCTCTTGGGAGGCCGAGGCGGGCGGATTGCTCAAAGGTCAGGAGTTCAAACCAGCCTGAGCAAGAGCGAGACCCCGTCTCTACTATAAATAGAAAGAAATTAATTGGCCATAACTATATATATATATAAAAAATTAGGCGGCATGGTGGCACATGCTGTAGTCCCAGCTACGTGGGAGGCTGAGGCAGGAGGATTGCTTGAGCCCAGGAGTTTGAGGTTGCTGTGAGCTAGCTGACGCCACGGCACTCACTCTAGCCTGAATAACAAAGCGAGACTCTGTCTCAAAAAAAAAAAAAAAAAAAAAAAAAAAAAAAAAAATACAATATGAAATGAGTTATAAACAAACATGTACCTTTCCAAAGTAAGCAGAGGTTCAGCAGTTCTAGCATGATCAATTGGATAGCGTTCACGAACAGCAAAATTAACATCATCTGCCTCATCAGTTCGAAACCTTAGATATTTAGATTAGGTACTCATAATCTGTAAGAACAATGTTCCCCTGCAATAGAATAAAATACAATTTAATGCTTTTCCAAATCATTCTTGAAACATCTTAAAATTTGAGAAAGAAAATGTAGTCTCTTAACCTAATCAAGGTTATAAAATGAAGTTACAAAACAAAAAGCACCAGAGTCACATCTAAACAACGTTCATTAAAAAAATACATACACACACACACACACACACACACCACCACACCCACACACACCATCCTGGCACTTGCCCAGCACAGACTAGGAAATAAGATAACAAATTCTAAAGACTCCAAGTTTGAAATATAATGAAGGGAATCTAGAGCAACTTTAAATTCATTGTCTGATGGTTTAGAAGTTACTATAAAAACACAGTAATCTATAACACCTTGATGACAGCAGCTGAACTTACTGTACACTAACAGGAGGCAGGTCTATAAACATTGGCTTATTAAGAGAAACAGATAAGACACATTTCAGAAGCCAAGCAAAAAGCTATTATACTTTCACCTGCAATTTGTCTTTTTTTTTTTTTGAGACACAGTCTCGCTTTGTTGCCCAGGCTAGAGTGAGTGCCATGGCACCAGCCTAGTTCACAGCAACCTCAAGCTCCTGGGCTCAAGCAATCCTCCTGCCTCAGCCTCCCAAATAGCTGGGACTACAGGCATGTGCCACCATGCCGGCTAATTTTTCTATATATATTAGTTGTCCAAATTTCTTTCTATTTATAGTAGAGACGGGGTCTCGCTCTTGCTCAGGCTGGTTTCGAACTCCTGACCTTGAGCAATCCTCCCACCTCGGCCTCCCAGAGTGCTAGGATTACAGGCGTGAGCCACCGCGCCTGACCAGCAATTTGTCTTTTAATGGCAATAGTTATGTGGCAAGAATAGTAATGATAGTTATAACTTTTGCCCAAGTAATCCCACATTTGGTAATGTGACCTCATGAAATACCTCAGTAAAACCAAAGGCTACATGCTTAAAGATGTTCACTAGAGTTTATTTATAATATTAAAAAAATGGAGGCTGCACATGGTCGCTCATGTCATAATCTCAGCACTTTGGGAGGCCAAAGGCAACAGGATTATTTGAGGCCAGGAGTTTGAGACTAGCCTAGGAGACACAGTAAGACCCCATCTCTATAAAAAAATAATAAAATTTAGCTAGGAGTCATGGCACACGCCTATATTTACTCAGCAGGCTGAGGCATGAGCCCAGGAATTCAAGGTTACAGTGAGCTATGATCATGCCACTGCACTTCAGCCTGGGTGACAGAGAGAGAGACACTGTCTCTAAATAAAAAAAAAAAAAGCTTAAATGTAAAAATCAGAGAAATTATTTAATTATAATATATCAACATATCAACATAACAAAATAGTAAAAAGCTATTACCTTATGAAGACTGTAAAAAAATTAAGAAAATGTTTATAATGTGAAGTAAAAAACAGCAAGACAAAAAATGTTGTGTCCTAGGAAGTAGGCAAAAATAAAATTACTTATTAAAGATTTAGAATTAAAGACTTTTAAAATTCAATACTGTTAGATAATACTTTCAATAAAAGTAGGGGGGACCTAATGAAAATAAAACTGCCCAAAGAATACAACCTTCCTTTACAGACAATGAAGATAGGGTACTATACAGACACAATTAAAAAATACAAAGAAGCATTCATGAAAATAGTCACAAATGACTTTGCAACTGCTTAGAACATGATTATAGAACATGGTGGGAGTAACTCCAATCTCATGGGAATCACAGGTTGCAAGTTAAGTGGCTTCAGTCAATTCAGCTACGATTTACCATGATTAGAGCTATAGATAACCCAAAACTACTAAATATTGAAAGACTAGTAAAAGGTTCTGACTTCAAAGCAACAATATATTTAAAATTTTAAAGATTTATTTAATTCAAAGAACAGAAAGATAATTGGAAAAGAAAAGTAACAGGCTTACAAAGAAATCCAGATAAGTATCTTGTTCAGGAAGTTGTGTCTTGAAGAATGGACCTGGCCATAGATCATGGTATATAGAAGATGCTCAAAATTTGATTTGTTGAATCAAATTCTACAGTTATCAGAGACACCTAGAAGTTTCCAGTAAAGAAGATATTTCCCAGAAAGGGCTTTCCTTAAACCAAGGTTTCCCAAAAGTATTCCACAGAATGGCTCCCCTTACCTCCCCCACAAAAAAGAATTCTGTGATCAAGTTTTAGAAATTCTATGTAACATTTCCTTCTCTAGTCGATGTATGTATTATATTACCATATTAACGGCACTGATAAGTCCTAGAGGCTAAAAAAAAAAAACTTTATCTTACTTTACTCTCATGGTTCTTGAAACCTTGGGAATCTTTTGAAACCTGAAACCTGAAATATTTATGACTATGGAACCTATTTTTCTAGGCATATCACCTCTTTATGTGCCAGTCTCCCTATACTTGAGGAGGAATAGGCCTGTCTTAAATATATTTGTCTTTCCAGCACCAACAGAAGCTCCATTCAATAAATGTTTTATTAGTATCTTATGGAATTAGTATCCAAGGAACATATTTTGGGAAATACTGCATTTGATTCTGATGTACCCAATAAGCCACTTTCTGATCTTAGCTTACTTTCCCCAAGTCTTTCCTACTGGAATCTTCTTACTACAAATCAGTAAACCTACTTTCCTAAATGAGTTTGAGTAGCAATAAGCCTCTTTCACCAAGGTCTGATCAACTCAAGATAGACCAGAAATCAAAATTCCAGACATGAAGGCTAGAAGATCAAACCTTGGTAAATAGAAAGGAAAAAGCAATCAAGATCTATCCTGATATAAATACATATATTTGTCTAAAAAGAAAAAAAAAAGAAGAAAAAAAAAATAAAAAAGAAAAAGATCTATCCTGAGCATCAACCAACCTACTGTTCAGATACCACAATGACTACTAGAAACTCCCAAGCACACTCTCTTATATATAAATCCTTAATATCTACTCCAAACTCATCATAGACTGGACCTCCATAGAACCTAGAAAGCATGCTTACTGCTCAGAGGCTTCAAATGGAAAGGCCCTAAATACAATGGGGTGTCTTATAAAAGAAAAAGGATGTGAATGGAAACACTGGTGAAATCTGAACAAAGTTTGTAGTTCAATTAATAGTAATGTACCAATGTTAACTTCTTAGTTTTGACAAATGTACCATGGTGATGTAAGATGTTAACATAAAGGGAAACCAGGTGAAGGTTACACAGGAACTTTCTATATTAGTTCTATAACTTTTCTATAAATATAAAATTATTTCTAAATAAAAAGTTTGCTTAGATTTTTAAAATAGGCTTGGCACAGTGGCTCACACCTGTAATCCTAGCACTCTGGGAAGCCAAGGCACAAAAACCACTTGAGGCCAGGAGTTCGAGACCAACCTGAGCAACAGGGTGAGACCTCATCTCTACAAAATATTATTTAAAAAAAAAACATCAGCCAGGCATGGTGGAGTGTGCCTACAGTCCCAGCTACTTAGGAGGATAGCCTGAGCCCAGGGGTTTGAGGCTGCAGTGAGCTATGATGACACCACTGCACTCTAGACTGGGCAACAGAGTGAGAACCTATTTCAAAAAAAAAAAAGTAAAGATTACACAAATTTATGGTATGGAAAGAATTTTTACATACCATCAAGAGTGAAGTTTAAATTGAAGCCAAAAGAGAAAGGAAAAGCCTGTGCCTAATATATTTAAGCATATAAGCTTAAATTTAAGAATGCAAACATACTGACCTAAAATTAAGGCATGGCTGCAATGAGTTAAATTCTGGAGATTTTCCTGCCCAAACAAAAATCCTTTTTTTCCTGAACAGAGAGAGAGAGACAGACAGACAGACACTTATAAGGACACCAAACATAATAGTGGTTACCCCAAGAAGAGGAATGAGTCTGGTCTAGGAGTGGTAAGACCTTCAATTTTAATTCTATGTAATTCTGTACATCATGAGAATGTATTCATGTACTACTTGTATAAACATGTTTAATTTAAATGATGGTCTAGATAATTCAGATCGCTCTCCTGCTCAGAAATGGAAAAGCTAGACAAAATACAGAAAACAAGTCTTTTAAGAAAAAATGCAAAGAAGGCAATAAACATAAGGCCAAATCTAGGAAACGAAAATTCAGAAACATGAGATGCACCTTAGGGCTTTTTCCTGAGGATCATTTTCTAATAGAAAAAAAGCAGCTGACGGCTGAGAAGCTGCACATAAATTTTGACAGACTCACAGGACAACAAAGGGGAATAAAAATTGAAGTTCAGTGTCCAGGTGAAAGAGGGGTGGAGGGATAACCCTAGTAAATCCAGCTATGAACAGTGACACCAATAGCTTGCATCCCAGGGGAAGGAGTAAACTGGAAATACACTAGCTTTCCAAGCCCATCTTCTCATCAATTCAATTCTTGACTGGAGTAAGTAATCTAGGATTACTTGTGCCCTTAGCTAACTGTCAGAAGCAAACAAATACCCTTTCTAAAGAGAAATAACATCATCCCAAGCCTCATAAATATATCATAATTTTTCTTTTTTTAAGTTCACAGGGAGCTTTGAAATAGCATCATTTTTCATAAATGCCTGGCACACAATAACATAATCAAACCATGTGCGGAGAGAAGACAATGTAGTTAAAATCAAGAAAAACAAAAGACAATCAAAACAGAACCTCAAAGGAGTCAAGTAACAGACCAGTTCCAATTGATTCCACATGACTCTTGTCTGGTAGCAATAAAATGAATGAACTAAAAGGCAAAAGAAAATATGGCTGAATTTCCCAAAACTAATGAAAAGCACCAAGCCACAGATTCTAGATGTGACTATAACCTCAAGAAGATAAACAAGGAAAAATTCACCTAGGCAAGCCATAGCAAAACTACTGAACTGCCCCCCATATCCAAATCCAAGCATACTCAAGCTCTACAGTTGTCCCTCCATAAATGTGGGTTTTGCATCCTACTAATACTGTATTTTTTATCCATATTTGGTGGAAAGCAATTCTGCATATAAGTG